GCGTAATACTGGAAAACAAGCCTCTAACTGTATCAGTATTTTAGCGTAAACCATTTAAGACTCACTTCAAGAGCCGTTCCTATATGATTTAAGATTTCAGCAGTCGCTTTATTAACCTTTATGCTTCCAAGATAAACTGATTCATACAATGTGTATTGTGGAAGAATTTTTTCAAAGTCAGGTGGAGTCTGGCTTTTGAATATATTTGTGTTAACCTGTAATACCACGATGGAAGTATACAAAAGTTCAGTGCCACCAACTACAACTTCTATAACACTTATTTCTTAACTAAAAGAAGCAAGCTTATTAGGACAATCAATAAAACTAAACCACGTGTTTTTTGAAAAGTTGAGTTAAAACAAGTTATCTAAAACCCCAAAATTAAACTTCTGAAGGCGACTGTTACAAGAGAGCAAAGATAAATGAGGTGCTAAAGTCTATCTCTAGAAGAAGCCCACTACGTAAAATGTTTAGTTTGGGCCACTGCATGATTTAAATAAATACCGTTAAGCGATTATCTTCAGAAACAGAACAAGTGTCAGGAACTTCGGTAGGAACACATTCATAAGCTGTATAGCGATAAGAGGACCCTACATTGTCACTGAAACACGCGTATTCCACCCACTGACCCTGCCGCAGCTGAAACGGTCACGCTAAAATGCAGCAGTTGCTGCTCACAAAATATTAATTTCTTGCTGCTGACACCATATTAATTTTTTAAGTCAAAAATGAAACAAAACGAATTTACAGATAAAAACTTTAAAATGTACATACACTTAACCCGTTTTTCATCTTCTCGCCAAGTGTCACAAGCACACATCCATGGTCTTTACCCCAAACCACATAGTACTGATCACAACAGCGGATAACGATCCCAGTCGACTTCACGGTTCCTGACCCACCTAGCAAAAAATGAATAAATTTAATAAATTTAACTGATTGTTAAAACCAAAGCAGAAGGTATAAAAAGACAAAAACTGTAATTTCACGTTACCATCCCCATAGTCATTTACAGCACTGTCAAATTCTGCGTGATTAACTCCATTTAAAATGTTATTTGAAAGTAAATCTGGACAAATATTTTCCTTTTCGTAACCTCTCATCCCACACCCGTTTGAAGAGCTCTCATCATCAGTACACACCTTAATTAAGATTATTTTTAAATTTAAACTAATGATTTGAATGAACTTAATGACATCCCCGTGTTAAAGACTGCAGTATTTACGAAAAAATGGCAGTATTTATAAC